GGTGACAGTGAAATACTTTACACTGCCAGGCTGTCTTCCTATTTTATCTCTGATACTGTTATGATTACCTGTATCATTTCCTCTCAAAGTCATCATTCTTCACCATCAGTTTTGCAGTATTCATCCAACCCGTTTGGATGTATACCTGTCTTGTGACCATCCCCATCAGTCCCCTGTCTTCCTTCCCATGCTAACAGTCTGGCTGTGACATTGTAACTTTTGTTACTGCTAATCCCCAGATTGATTTAGCAGGATTTTTTTACAGAGAAAACACAAAGGCTTTTTTTCTCCTGATGGTTTATTACTTGTTAATATCTGACAAAACAGATTTATTATGGAGCAGACAGGCAGCATTTAGCATTGCTAAACAGAAAAGCACTTCCTAGTTTTGCCCTTTTACGCCCTGGTGAATGAAAAGCTCCTTTCCCTCTAACTGTTTCTGATATGGATTAACACCACAGTGAAGATAAGTTTAGAACCTGCTAGGAACTTGTGTGAGCTAAGTGCTAAAGAAAGGAAGGGCTGACAGAACTAGAGTTGCACTTTTCAGCTCCTTACTATCAACTTGCAAATAGGAAGGGCTGAGAAAAAAAGGAAGGCCTTGGAGGTGGGGAGTTACAGCTCTTCTGTTTCACCACTCCTTGGCATGTTGACTTCAGTGTGGTACTCAGAGGAGTCTCCTGAAGGCATCCAAGGTATTGGGGTTCTGTTGAAGGAGGGTCTGTTGCTGAAATTTTGATTATATATCATAAGAGATTCTGGAATCAAAGGGCAAATATCAAACTGTGGCACTTTGAAGGTCATCCGTTTGGCTGCTTTCTCATAACCCCCGTAAGGCATGGCAGTCCTGGCACAGGGGAATACGTGGAGTTAGCAAACACAGCAGAGGTAAACAATGAGATTTAGAAAATAAATTATCAAAGTTATTAAGATTGTTCATTTTACCACTGTTGCAGTTGACTGGCTAACAAATCCTTCCCAAGAATGTATAAGTGCTGATTGCCTATGCACTGAAAAAGATTTTCAAACAAAAAAAGCCAACTCTCTCCCTGCTCCCATGCACTTCCTTCACCCCTGTTGTATCAGTCTCCTTCAAACCACAGACATTTTGCACATGCTGGTTTCCTATACATGTAGGAGGCAGAGGCTGCATTACTGCAGAAATGAGTGAAATTTGGGGTTGTCCTGGGTACTGGTGTTCCTAGGCTATGGAAATGAGTGGCAAAATTATATAGAGGTTAACAGAAAATTGTGGCTGCTCTAGAAATATTTGTAAAACTTTCAGTTCTTATCAGAAGCAGCAGGAAGATCGTGATTGTTAGCTGAAGTACTGTGAAGTATAGCTTCTGATCCTAAGTATTTTTCCTGAACTTGAATGGCTTCAGTAATGAACAGTGGCAAGCTAAATCTCTCTGGTCAAATGGCACAAGAAAGAAAGAGAAATAGGATTAAGGTCCTCTTATCCAGCTGCATTGGTTTTCTGTTCATAAACTGAATTAAAATCTCAAGCTCTTAATGTATCTTCTCTTTGTAGGCCTTCAAACGTTCCATCCACAGGAGACTGTGCTAAGTAAAATGACATGCAACTAAAACTGACTTATATTGCACAGATGGGAGGCCTATGGCCAGGGTTTTTGTGTTTTCTCATGCTAAATAAACTTGAATATCCAAGAAGACTTACCGGTTAAAAGACTTGTAATGTGGGAAATCAGCTTTGGGACTATATGACAGCAAGTCAATGGTGAACTGACTTTTGTCCTCGGGGCTGACACCCATTGCTCGTTCCCAGGGGGAGATGTAAGTTTTAAATATAGTGACTTTTTTGCCTCCTGACTTTCCATCTGTAAGCAGAGGATAGTAAAACACTCTAGTTAGATGACACTTACTCTAAATACATTGTCTTTCTGTATTCTGCCATCGAAGTTGAGACACCAGCTGTGTTTCCAAATTCTGTAACTCACAAATCTAGTCCAAGGTTTTATGGTTAGATTTCTCTTTAGAAAGACTGTCATACACCATTTCTGTCCTTATCCACAAAAGCAGATGTACCACAGTCTAAGAGCCACTGGTCCGGGAATTTGCATTAGAGCATATATTTGAAAGCTCATGTTTCATTCTTCCCTCTAACCACTCAGATAAAAACCTCTTACCCCAAGAACCAATGTCCTTACCTCAGCATCCCCTTCACTGCCTCGGGGGAAGCTTTATACAAGGCAAAATGCTATCTAATTTCATGATTTAATTCTCTCTGATCATAGCACGCATAACCCTCACTGTCATCAGCTGCAACAAACAAAGCCCTGACTGTAAACTCCAAAACTAGTCTCAAACTTTGAGGTTTGGACCTTTAACCATCATATTTCAGGGTCTTGGCAACCCAAACCCATCTTTACGAACACCTTCCTCAAGAGTCTAATCTTGAATGTTCTTAAATTACCATCTCCCCTGTCTCAGTATTTTTATAAGTTGGCATTTTCTTTGTGGTTACGTGAACAGACATTCATATTTTCCCCTCCTGAACCTTAGAGACAAGTCTGGCTTAAACACCTCAGGATGGCTAAAAGCAATTTGAAATTTGAAACTGTCTTTCAAAGTTAAAATCCTGTCAATGCCAGAGCTGTACTTTGCTGTTAAGTCAGATACTTGATTGCCAGAAATTTTAGGTTAGCTTCTGGCTGCTCCATTAAGTAAGTTTAGACAAGGGGTTGCATTCTGTATGCCTCTTTTTCTTTCCTCTGTTTTCTTCCAGTTCTGTGTAATACCACCTTGCTAATAAGAGCATTGGTTGTATATTGATCTGCAGCACGCTTTGAAGATTCTCATCCTTCATAAACCTTAAAACTCCTGAGCAATGACTTCTGCTTAACTTAATTAGGGCATTTAGGAGTAATAGGTTAATGGAGTTAGATATTCTGGTGCTCTCATAGTGTTAAGAGTTTGTGTAGAAAACATAAATCCTCATTAAGTAAGTGGCGAAGAATGAACACTGCTATGCTTATGTGAAACTTCTTTATCACACCTTTATTTGTCTTGCTTAATTTCTTCAAACCTTTCTAAATCCTGGTCTTTCCTGGTTTCAGAGAATTGCAGACGTGTACAAGAATCTCATTTTCGTTTGAAAGATAAAAACAATTACTGCTCTCTTTCTGTGTGAAGGATTTAAGCAAAGTAGTTTAGAAGTTAATTGATTGCTAGGGTTGAAAAATAAAGCCAGTTGTCATCCATTTCTGCACTAAAAACTATAAGATGATATTAATCCTCCCTACACTCAGAAACTGGATAACAGTGGAAAAAAATCCTCACTGAGAAGACAAGTCTACACAGATTTCTTTTTCATAGGGATGACCAGAAATGTAAAAGCTGTTTTTGATATAAAATGCACATTCTTCCAGAATGTAAATGAAAACCCTTAGATTTTACATGGCCACTTATAACAATGGTTCCTGATTCCCAAGTAAATTCGCTTTTTGTAGTAAAATCCTATAGAGACTGTTAAAGTAATGATTTCACCTGCTGATTCCCATAGAAGAGATTTGGTTCTAGAGGTTTCTGGCCAAGCCCAACATAGGATAAAATTAAGCAAAGACTAAAGTCAATGAAGAATACTTTATCATATAAAGATACTGCTTCAGCAGACCATTGGCGATTACTAGATAACTTCTGGAAATACTGTTCCTTTCTGAAGAGTACCGAAAAAGTGCTCCTCATTTAGGTGGAAGCTTTGATTTGGAAGTAGGGCTGATATACTCAATACTGATGTGTATCGAGTAGTCTCAGGTAAGACTACTGAGATAAAGAATCATAGAGGTTGGAAAAGACCTCTAAGATCATCAAGTCTAACCATAAAGAGCCGATACTGCTACTTCTTGTACTACTCAGATTGCCACGAGGCCTGAGAGCTTTAGGTTTTTCTTGTTCTTGCAGGGAGATACTTGCCTTTCTCAGTACCATCCCCTCCTTCTCCACCACTTCCAGCCGAGTCCCCCGCATGCTCCCCTTTGCCATCCTTAGGGCCTCCTTTGCTTCCATGCTTAGCAGAACCAGCGGGATAGTGCTGCTTACTGGAGCCATGCTGCCCAGCTGTCACTCCTCCTACCATCCGCCCGTGGGCATCGCCATGGGCGTCTTCCCCATAATGCCCTCCTGGTGGGATGAACTTCTGAAAGTGATCCTAGGGGAGGAGAAAAAAGAATAGGAATCCTTGTTACAGGACATGGTCCGTTCACATTTGCAGGCTTGGGTCCCAGAGTGTGAACTTCCACCCCACGATCTGACCAGTTTTTGTCTCAGTTACAAAACCAATGACAGAATTTTATGTCAGTTATTTTCTGTATTGATTATGGGAGCAGTTGTAGAACAGTAGCAAGGGCAATGGAAGCACACCTTTTAATGGACACCTCTTAGTCATTGTGTGTGATCAGGGTAAGAAGTCCCCAGCAGTGATCAATATGAAATACAGAAGGAAGGGAAAGGAAATATAGCTTTTGCCAGAGCAGGTAAAGGTCCAGACAGAGCTACACTGTGAGAAAGCAAGCTGGACAAGAAATAGGAAGTGTTTTCATGTCAAGGCTAAGATAGCCCGGTAAAGTCAGCTCCATTACAGTGTGGGAGCTAAGTGTTACAGGGCACCAGAACAACAGGGTACTTATGAGAACATAAAAGCCAGGAAAATGACTGCCCCTATGTCTGTTTTCTGTATATATAAAGGTCTGCATGGGTATTTACACGTTGAAAAAGACTGAAGAGACACGTTGAAAAGAAAACATGAAAGACTTCCTGGAGACCGCAAGAGGAAAATGACAAAAAGGGAGAGTTTTGTTTGTAGCAATATGTGCATTAACAAACCAAACCCCAGCAACAAGGCAAGAAAGCAAGCTGCATCCCTCGCTAAAATCAAGCTGGTCTTATTTTCCAGGCTATCCACTCTGTTCAGCCCAGGCCAGAAGGCACAGTCCCTGCAGTACATAGTGAAAGGGCAAACAGTGTGTGCAGGATTTATAGACCCTGTGGTGCCAGCACAAGGTCCTGTCCTTGCACACAGCAATTTTCATTAATACTTGTGTGGAACAGAAACTAATGCAATATGTTCAGAAAAACATTTGTTGTATTGGTCATAAGTGAGTTCAAAGCTTGACTCCTATCAGATATAAGAAAGTATCTCTTGTGTATCACAGCCCACACAGGTGTATAATACCAGTAACTTGGGTTACATATCACATAAGATCATTCCTGTTGGACTGGAGATGCACGAAGATGTAACAAATAATACGGCTGAAGGGAGTGAATCTGTGGTTCCTCATGCTGCAGGTCTGCTTGTATAAATACACCAGAGGCAGTCAATGGGAGACAAGAGTGCCGACCTCTGGGCTGCCTCTCAAAGGGTTAAGGCTTTCTCAGGGCTCTTACACCTAGTACAGTTTACCAAAAAGAAGCTTTCCAGGCTGTAAATAGGCTTCCAAGGCCAGCTGTTCAGTCAGCTAAAAATAGCTGAGAAGTGAAAACCCCACAAGGCTCAAGGCAGAATTATCTAACCCTTCACTCCCTGTGTCTCCAGCAACAGTGTCCAGGGTTTCACAGCAGGTCACCAGGCTGCAACCCAGGCAGGCAGCCAGCTGCAGGCTGAAGGAGCAGAGCTGGTGCCCTCAGGGCCTTTAGGGACTTTCTGTCCTCCTCGCTGTAGGGAATTCCCTTTTTAGGAACAGAGGAGATAATGTTCGCTTGAATGTCAGGAACCACTGGGAGGGGAGAGGATTGTGAGCATTAAGCTCTACAGAGGAGCTAGCTGGGCAATCTGTTCAATTATGCATGGGAGCTATGTAGCTGTAAAAAGACAAACTGAAAAAAAAGGGTATTTGGAGGACTAAGGGTCAAAATGAGGTTATTCTCAAAATGTTAACATATATACAGGGATAATGCTTCTACTGATTTTCTCAGTTTACTGATTTCAAAACAGGATTTGCATCTGTCCTCCTTCAAGTTTCACCCATGCTATGTGCCCTTCCTGAGAATGAAATGCTTATTTCTCTTTTTCTCTGGTTACTTACATGCACTCTCTGACAAAAAAAAAAGAACCCTCATAAAATATCAGCATAACGTGAGCTACACTAAAAAGGGCTGCTTTGATTTTGTGCACAGCAGTATTTGATGTGTCCAGGAATGGGCATAATTGTCATGTAGTGTTATTTTAAATTGCACTATTACCATTAAGCAGGAGTGAAGTTTCTCTGAAACACAAGGTCTGCCTCAGGAAAGCCACACCTAAATCTTACTTAGATGCAAATGAAATGAGTTTGATTGGTCTCAGGTTAGTTCATGGTTCTTCATGGACCTGCTGGGAAAACATGCTATATTCAGCAGACATCTCCATTTATAGGAAAGACCCATTTTCCATGCAATACTCCAGTCTACTCACCTCCTAGAATAAAAAACCACAATTTTCTTTAGTTTTGGCCACCACAATAGATTGTCTTAGCTAGAATTAACAAAAGGCAAAGGCAAATTAATCTTTTTGAAATCTTGAACCTTGTTGGATTCAAACGAGCTTGTTCCAAGAAAGCAGAGCTCAGGAATGACAGTTTCAAGCAGGAATCTCAACATTGTCAAAGCTGTGTAGATGCAGCTTTGTCTTTGTTGCTTAGAGCATTCCTCTGGACAGGGTATTCAGAGTGAAATACAGCTTATGCTTGAGGAGAATGCACGTCTTGGGCCACGGCTAACAGCATGTGGAGCTTTTACATATATTCATGTAGCAAAACCAACCTTTCAGTTTGGTTTGATTGACCCTGTTGGTGGAAGGGACAAGGGAGAAGCCCAGGATTGTCAACGGAGAAGGCTGATAACCTCTCCTGTTGGCTCTGGAGGCAGATCACACAATCTCTCTGTGGTAGGGTCTGCCCTTCTCTGTGCATTGTTGGAGGTGGTGGATGTTATCAGTCCCTGGACATCCTTAAATCCACTCTAGCAAGAGAAAAACTGTGGCAAATTCATGTGATGTGTAGTATCCTGAGTTGGCTAAACAAATTGTTCTTGTGTCTTTTAAGTCCTTAGTGGTAGCAAGGGCCTGATCCCCTAGGCTGAGTGCCTAGGCAGATAAATTCTGAATTCTCTAGAGCTACTGCATGTGTCTCATGAAAAACAGATAATGAAAGATGATCCCACGAATGGAGCTGAGATCTCTAAGTATCTCAAGGCTCTGACGTCACTTCAGGCAGTCCCCAGGAGGAGACACTGTGTGCTCCCTGTCAGCTCCTTGCTGTGCCCTAAAGAGAATGATTGAGGCCACCAAATGTGTTTCTATTTCCACTACACTGATAAAGAGCTTCCCAAAGGTTTGATGCCTATGTGCTTACTAACACTTCTGAAGTTACTGTGACTACGTCCTCTCAGTGGCAGCCACTCAAATGCTCCTTAACAGTGGGATGGGAGATTTAAAATTCAGACACTTGGAGAGTCTCACAGACTGCCTGCTGTTTTTATCAAAGTGTGTGCCTCAGCCCTTAGTTTGGGGTTGCATAGCCTTAAACCTATGATTCACTTTAAAAAGCAAGGATGAAAATAAAAAGTAACCTCAGCTCTTAAAAGTGTCCTAAGCTAATGTTTTTTTAAAACATGCTCCCCCGAGAGGCACAGCAGGTTGAGCTCCTGCTTTCTATTTCCAGGTCTACTTCTGACCTGCTGTTTAATCTTAGGCAAATAATTTTTCACCTCTGTGCCTGTATTAACTCATCTAAATAATGGGATTTTTTATCTAATACTACCCAAAATCCTTGCTGCGTTTTCTTTGCGGATGAAAGAAACTGGGTTTTGGAATTATGGTCCCAAGTTTTTCTCACAGTACTCCAACAAACTGCTGTGGAAAATAAAAGGCTCTTCCTCTCTGTCATTCTGCTGTCTCCACACCAGACACTTCCTGAGCAGAAGACATCAGACTTCGTGTTCACTCTTATACAGTTTTGGGTATAGTTGGGACCTTTAGGTCTTCTGCACCAAGCCAACTCCAGCACTGCAAGGCTCATTTTGTTAGAAAAGTTCCATATTAACAGACTGACTCCACTTAGGTCATAAGCTGAGAGTCTCTCATATCTCAGCTTGCAGTTATCCTGTTTGTTCAAGAGGTTTAATATTCCCTTCAGAACAGCCTTCTTAGAAAGAATGCTTTTCCTAACATTTTCCCTTTAACCCTACCTCCAGTGATCTTGATTGGCATTCTAAGTACATTAAGGGGCAAACAGAACCATCAGTGTATGCTTTTGCATTAAACCAAGTAGCTGCATGGTAACAGCTCTGTTCCTCCATCCTTATGCTTTCCTCCACACACTGTATCACCTGTGGCTATTTAACACGTGAGATCTATTTGCTGTGAAGCACTGCTTTTGGTGTTGTAATGTAACCACTTCCATTTTCTTCCTGCCACCTCTGCTTACTCCTCCATGTTCTTGTTCAACAGCAAAAGGAATGTAATCCAGTTCTTCAACCCTTTTTCACTCATGCTTTGTTTCACAGTTGATGTCTTAGCTTATCTGAAGAGATCTCTTGACCTGAAGTCCAGCAGAAATTACTTGCCAGCACATGTTCAGTTTGTTTTCATAAAAGCATTGCCAGGATATGGAAACAACATTTATTTTAGCTTGTGGGGAGTCTGAGAAAGTGTCAAGGTGGGGTTTTTTTGTTTGTTTGTAGATCTGGGGTGTTTTTATGTACTACTGCTGATAATTGTCTACTCAGATATTTATTATTCCACCTTTCTAATGTTTTTCATTTCAGATCTGCTAGGTAAAGCATTTACCTAGAGGCAAATGAAGTCTTGAAGTCTTTCTATAAACTGTCTCCTGCACATAACCCAAATTAGACCACAAATTTTGACTAGCAGAAAGACTATTTTTAAGGATATTCACTAGAAGAAAAACAGCATAACAGCAACACCCAAGAAGTGTAACTATGGTTTTCACTCTGTGATAGCAAGAAGGTCTTGCACAGACCTTCCCAAAGTCGAGGTGGGACCCTGGGAGGAGTTGGGGCAATAATGAGTGGGGATGCAAGGCTAAGAAACACAGTTTAACATGATCATGATGTGTTTGAAGCCAAACAAATTTAATATTATGAGGTGGAGGAAAAGTCTGTGAACTGCTGAACAGTGAAGTGGGATTTAGGAGATCCAGAGATAAGACTGAGACCCTCTCTATGATTTTGGGTGATTCGTTAATCTACTTCATGGGTTCAGCTTCATCACTAAAAAATAAATATAGTCATTTCATTCATGCTATAGTTGGTCAGATGCTACAATAATAGAACACATAGCAAGATAGGATTTCAGCGTGCTCTCAGCACTCAGCAGTAAATTGCATCTTGCAGCTCCTCAGTGAGGTTGATAATATCCTCTGAGACACGGGCAGCACTGTTTCTGTGACAGGTTGGTGCAGCCTAGGGAAAGGAGAAGGTATCTTTCTTCTGATTTACTAGACAAGGCTCAGCAGAGCCTGGCTTCTCCAGCACAGCACCAAACAAGGAGGACATCACGGTCTCTCTGCCCTCCCTAAAAACATCCCCTTATACTGTATATTTGCAGGAGAAGGGGGTCACAGAATTAAAACCAGCTATAAGTAAGTAGTGCATTTCATGTTGCTCATGTGGGGAGTGGTCAGTCCTTTTGACTGTGGGTCTAGCTACCCTTTGCCTTTAACTGGCCACAGCAGGGATAGAGTGGCAGGTTTTTACTTCTGCATGGAGCTGGCTGATATTCACGCACACACTATATTCTCTGCTAAAAGTAAAAAGAGAGATCTGATTGTCCAGTGTATTTGTTTGGCTGGAGGAGAAGGAGGAGGAGAGAAGCAGGAGGGTGGATCTGCTGAGCTCCCCTTTGTGTGGAAGGTTTACAGCTACAGCAGAAGCTATTCTGGGACCCCTTCTATGGCTTGGATTTATTTTTAATAACTTCTATCTTTCTGTGTTTTTATAGTACATTACCTTGCTGTTAACACTTTTTTTGGGGGTAAGAAACAATCTGCACTCCATCCCAGACCTTTCTTGCCCTGCTTTACTGTGTCTGGAGAATATTCTAAGGTAGTTAAGAAATTATTGTATAAAAGCACAAAACACACCACCAGCTTTGAATCCCTTCACCATCCCACAGCCTTAAAGTCACAAGGAATTCTTTTGGATGGGGAGCAAAGGACATGAAAATTAACTGGGAGTGGGAAGTAACTGGAATTAACAGTAGGAATTCTTTACTCTGCCATTATCTTCCTCCCACAGTTCCCTTTTGTTTAAGCCTTCTTTTCTCCATCCACCTTTGAACAGAGGCAGGAGCAAGAAAGGAAAGGAACAGAAACCTAATCAAATATTGCAATCAACAGGGCTTTTTGATGAAAGTTATTTGGTGCTAAGGTCAGGTGCTGTACTTATGGTTTGAAAGGTATCAGTGAGGGACAGATCTCTTGCCTTTGCCTGCCTAAGAGCAACCAGCTCTCTGAGAGGATGGCTTAATTGCTGCTCAGCTTTCCTTCTTCCTGCTCTGACTGCAAGCAAAGGTGGTAACTCATGCTGGCTGTGCTGGTGAGAATAGCACAGAGGCAGTGCTTGCAGCCTGGCAAAGTCCTTGTCCAGAGCACACACAGGGCAACCAACAAATGGTAACAATTATGTTTATGATCCTGCTAAGCTGGTCCTGAGCAAGGGCTCTAGGGCAGGCCCAAGTCTTCCTGCACGGACCAATGGAGATTTGTTATCTGTACCATGAATGTGGAGAAAAGATGGCCCTGAAAGGGAGTCATGGAGGCTTTTAAAGCAGAGTACCAGCTGCTGCTCAGAGACTATGCCACTAGCAAAGCCATAAAGAAAATCCTACACTTCTTGGGGTCTTGTCTAACTCCCAAATACATCTCTCCACAGTACAGTATCTTACAGTCTTGCCCAAAGAGCTTGGGAGCAGGGGTTTTCATACAGAATGGAGAAAAGTATTCACTACAGAAAGCATATGGAATGAAAGTCAGGTGCAGATTAATAAACAAAGTAGGAAAAACAGCTAACAAAAAGAAGCAGTTGTTATCAGCCTTTGTAATGTCAGTCTTGAATGGATTCTGTGTGTGTCCATTTTTGAGTCAGCTCATCACAACTCAATTGCTTTGTATTTCTCTCGTTGGGCACCCTTAAGTGACACCCTCAAATTTTCCAAGTTTGAACTTCACCCTTTTTATTCCCTCTCCTCATTATTTTCTCAATCCTCCTCACTGCAGCAGATTCTGACACACGAACTTGGCCCCTGTCTGTTTTAGGATGCTCTAAGATTGCTGATTATTTACAAAACCAGCTTGCATTTCTCTAGGATTTTCATCGGAGGAGACCAAAGTTCAACACACCATTCATTCTCACACCCTTTCTAGGAGATAGCTCACTGAAGAGATGGAGTACCTAAAGCACAAAGAGATGAAGAAACTGCCTGAAGTCTAACAACAGTGGATAAACTTTCTCTATCTCTGGTCTGTCATCCCTCATCTGTAATCTGACCTACTGTTGTCATTTTAATGACTTTTTTTTTTCAGGCGTCTTTCCACATTCTGCTTCCCAATTTGTCATTTTTAGAAGTGAAGTACAAAGATTTACTTACTGCTGCTTTCAGAGGACTAAAAAATAGTGTGTTTTTGTTTAGCAGAACATTTTCTCCAGCTTGGCTTTTATTATTTTCCTTCAGTTTCTTTGGATTGGAAACTGGATGCCATAAAGGGATAAAATGAAACCAAATAAACTTTAAAGAACTTCAGAAGACAAGATACTACATCAAAATGCATATGACCCTGAAACATTTTCTGTTTTACTGACAATTACGTGAAGGCAAAGTTTCATTTACACCAGCAATGAATTGTAGAGAGAAGTTCAAAGATTAAATAACAGTACTAACTCATGGGAAAGGGAAAAAAAAAAAAGAATGTTAGAATTTATACATCATATCTGATAGGAAAATACTTTATATGAAAACAAACTTAGCTTCTAGCAAAGAATTAGAAGATATTGCAGTGTCAGGTTAGAGGTTTCTGTCTGAACTTTCATTTATGGAACTTCTTCCAGCAATGAGCAGAGGACTCTGCCCAGCAGAAAGCACAGTAATGTATCCTAGGCGGAAAATAGAATTATACCTACTGGAGCAGAAGTCAGACCTGGATGGGTCATTTCCATCTTGCAAAGGAGAAATGGAATGGGTACAAAGCCATTTAGTCTTGCCCTTCACAGCTCTGAACATCTGCCAAACATGCAGTCCTCCCTCATTACTCAGTACTGGATTTTCTTACGCTTCTGCATGTGTGATACCAAGTATTTACCAAAGGAAACCAATACTGCTGCTGAAAGGAGACAAAACTTGTGTGTTTGTATAATTTTGGCTTTTTCCTGCACTTCTTTGCTAGCATATCCCCCTTCAGTCCAAGCCCATGCACATACAGATGGAGGACAGCTTGGGCACAATCCATTCCTATTTACCCTGGGTGTATGGAGCAGCTTTTTACTTTTAATCTCCGACCTACCACAGAATTGTCGGTGAAGGCATCAGGGTTATTCTCATAAATGAACTTCTCCACCCTCAGCTGACGTAATTTGAACATCTTGGATCCTTTGTTAGTGAGGAGAGAGAGCTCTTCTAGCATCACATCTCTGGGGATGCTGATCTTCTTCCCCAGGTTCAGCTTGGACACCTCTTGTGGCATGACTAAAAAACATATAAAATGGGACTCTTTAGGAAGTGCTGTGGTCCAGGTCTCTTGTCCATTGCTTCAAAGCAGCCAAGTTCACTTCTAAATTAAGTTTTTAGGAAATAACCTATGCATCAGATTTTTACTTTGATGACATTTTAAATACAAATGAATGGAATTACTCTGGATTATAATCAAGGCAAATCTACACAAAGAAGAGTTGCATAAGGGTGTAGATAGATGCATGTGTCCCACATCTGAAGCACCTCAGTCAGTGTACCAGGATTCCTTAGTACTGCCTAAAAATTCACCACTGCCTTGTCTGGTTACTGCCCTGTGCTTGCCTCTCCTCCTCTGGAACTAGATGAGTGAGTGGTCAGCTCTTTGCATTGGGATGACATATAATAGAGATCACTCTGGCATGCTTTGGTTTAAACATTATCCTGGAACCATGGCAGGATTCAATCTTATTGTATCCATTTGTGTGTTTGTTTGTTTGTTTGTTTGAAGGAGAATTTATAAGGGTAAAAGTGGCCGAAGTTCTCTTCAAGTCTTAATATGCTGGTTACTCTGTAAGTCCTTTTCCATTTAATTTGGTACCATCGATTCTTCATCAAAGCAATGGACTCAAACATTTTCAATGTAAAAATGTTGCAGAAATGCTGTTAAAGCTTTTCAGTCAGAAACAAGCAACTTTTCCTAGGCCTGCTTTATTCAGTATTAAGCAAGGCTAAGACCAAATACCTACCTCTACATCTAATTTATGACACAGAATACATCTCCATCCTTAAACTGGTATAACATTGGTATGAGCCCATTCATTTTATTAGATATTCTCTGAAGAATTTTTTTCTTTTTTAGCAAGCTGATTTTATATAGCACAATTTCATAGCACAGGAGGAAATGCCCTTTAACTGAAAATTGGATTTTTACTTGCTTGTTTACTTGAATAAAAGATTAGAGACAAACAGAAAAACATATAACTGTACCCTAGCAAAGAAGTTTCTATAGCTCTTTTTTGGGGGCCAGAAAAAGGGACAGCACTGAATTGCTACTTTTCAAAACCTCTAAAAATCTTCCCCATGCTGTTAAAAGTAGAGAAGACAAGGATAGCACAGTTAATTAAAAGTCACCCTGCCCCATACACAGGTATTCTGTAGTGTCCCAAGTTATATTCTTCCTGCTGTGTTATTCCCTCTTTGACTTTGACTTTTTCGACTAATGAGTGCTGGATCAAAGGAATTCTTTCACAACAGAGGAAAAACAAATTAGAGACAAAGTTTGTAAGAGAATAACATAAAATATCACAAGGCACTGCAATATTGATACCCAGCAAGGATCATGTTCTCTTTCCATTCACACTGGTGTGCATCCAAATGAATGCTGCAGGAAAATATGAGTTTACAAAGCATAATCTGCATCAGCATTTGACCTGGGTGTGTGTAATGCTTTTAAACAGCAAATTAGAAAATGTGATGTAGTTAAAGGCTGAGGTTTAGTAATATTTGTGGCTCTGCCTCCTGGTACGTTCACTGCGTATCTTGCTCTGGGAGATCAGTCAGATAGGGTGTGAAATTTTAAAGGCTGAAATTCAGGCTGAAATCCAAACAATTCTCACATGTGCAGTTTTGCATATCTTACCTTCGTCTGTCAGCTTCCCAATGAGTTTAGTGGGCTTTTTCCTTTTAAGAGGAGCAGGAGTCCCTGCAAGGGGCATTCCCACAAAGGGTTCTCTGCTTTGCTCTAAACACACAAGGAAATGGAGAATGAAACACTGGAAAGGTATTTCCTGCCTCTCTTTTAGTTGCCATCTGCAGTTAAGAGATACACAGCCTTCATTTCACACACAGGTCCTTTTCTGTCTCTAGCACATGAAGGAGCTAGTGAATGGTATTGTCTCACAGAGAGTACCACTGGCAGGCTCTTGTGGTTTTCTCCAGAGACTTAGCATTAGGACACAAAATATGGCAGCAGGTCACAGCAGAAGCATTGCCAAGGTGCCATATAGCACTGTCAGCCAAAATAGGCACTTTAATTGCATCAGGGCACTCTCCCAGCACCCACGTGTGCCACAGTGGTATGGTACTCTGTTATCATCTTGGGCTGCAGGAACAGCCCACTTTGAAAATGTGCTAAAGGAAAAGTTGTCCACCCAATTTCTCTGAAGTCATTTGTGCCTGATTCATATGTATCGATCTTATCAGGTATCATTTTGGAGGGGAGAGGCAAGGAAGAAGGAGATTTCTTCTAGTACAGTGTTTCCCATCTCTGTCCCCAGATAAGATGAGAGATCTGTGCTTCAGTGTCAGGGAAGATTAGGAGAAATCTCAGCACTTCCACTTCAGGCAGATTCTCAAGAGTCCCTCTTGGGGGTTACCATGCATAATCTAAGTAGGGCAAATGTCTTGCCTTCACTTCAGCACTGTCCATGCCCAAACAACAGCATACATGGGGACAGATCCTCACCTAATGCCATATAATACAAAGAAAAATGAGAAAAGACCCACTGGCTTCAGCAATAGCAATAACTAACTGTCTCTGTCCTTGTGCTTCTTTGCACTTCAGTTGCTTAAAATTTCAGAACTGAAAAGGTGGAGCTATGAGTTATATTTTAAAACTAGCAAGTGAACAGCTGGCTCTAGGAGTTTGTACACTGCCCTTGTGATCAAGACATTTTTATTTTCTATGTATTCTGCAGTTTTTTTGCACCATTACTCCTTCTGCAACATGATTTTCATGTGATGAGGTGATGAAAACTGCTAAAAGAAGCCCAGGCACAGCAAACCAGCTCAAATCACATTGGCAGATGCTCTATTGGATTAGTTTTTCTTTCAGATTTCCAAGCTTTTCTTTTTACTGAGATGCTGCCTATGTAGTTCACATCATAAAAGAACCCACCCTGGTGTATTCCCAAAGCAAGCATGAGCAGGTGCAGCCATAAAGCATGCGCTGCACATTCTCCTTCAGCAGCCAGACATCTGCTTGGCTATATAAAAGAAGCAGGCCCTTCTTGACAGGAAAAGGGCAATGCTGCCAGGAGGCGAGGAAGGTGGGAAGTTATGGCCCATCTGATGGGTCATAAGACTGGCAAGACAGAAGGAAATCATCTGTATGCCCCAAACATGGACTCCATGGGGCAAGGCAGAAAGGGCTGGTCCTGGTGAGGAACCTTGCTCCTCTAGCACACCCATTCCCAAGGAGCAGCAATGGCAAGTCTGTCCCATCCTGCTGTCCTTTACTATTCCAGCATGATTGGGGAGTGGAAACCCTTCTGCATGCAACTGCTCTAGCATAAGGTAAGGGGCAGCAATCTGTCACTGTGGACAGGGTCCAGAGCTACACTGGGACTACTGCTCTTTTAGACACCTCACCATGAGGAGGCTGCAGGAGCCTCAGTCCCCATCCTCCCCAAAGCTAGGGCCACAATTATCCTTTTCTCCCCTGAGCTCTACCCCTTCGTTCAAGCCCTCTGTCTCTTTCTGCATCAGTCTCTGCAGCAGACGTTTCCTTGGTTTTGCTGCAAACCAAACCAGTCTTTACCCTCTCCAGCATCTCCTCTCAACTATTTTGCTACCCAGTCAACTCACCTCAGGCTTGCAGTGCCAGGCTCAGACCAGCTCACGTGCCTGCCCCAGAGCTCGGCAGTGGGCTGCTTCCTCCCAGCCCTTCTCGGGGTGCTGCTGGGGAGGCTTCTCCAGCACCCCACTCACCCAGGCTGCCTGGGTGCAGGGAAGCTCTACCCAGCACAAAGTGCTGATGCGAAGTGCTGTGAATTTGACTCCTGAAGGCTGCTCACGCAGGCATCCTGCAGTTATTAATAGCCAACAGCCCGGAGGGCAGAGTCTCAGATAGCACCACTGCCAGCCCCGAGGAGAGGGGAGAGGAAAAGGTTGCTCCTTAGGCCCCCTGCAGTCACTGCCTCAGTTCCCAGGAAGGCCAAGCACTCCACAGGTGCCTCACTTCTTCCTTCTTTCTCTTCAAATCAGCATGCTCTTCCCCTTCCTCATCCTATTGCATTTGAATGAAATTCATCCTCAAACACCTTCTCAATATCCTGTTTGTCAGTAGTGCCCCACAAGCTCTCTTGAGTCTTGCTCTCTTTTACACATTCCTTCTGTCCCTCCTCACTCCATCATTCAATCCAGTGTCCTCTGGGGTTACAGAATCAAAGAATCACAGAATGCTAAAGTTTTGTAAGGGACCTCTGGAGATCATCTAGTCTAATTCCCCTCCCAAAGCTGGTTCGCTTAGGGCAGGTTACACAACAACGTGTCCAGGTGGGTTTTGAATGTCTCCAGAGAAGAAGATCCCACAACCTCTCCGGGCATCCCGTTCCAGTGTTCCCTCAGCCTCACAGTAAAGAAGTTTTTCCCAATGTTGAGGTAGAACTTCCTGTGTTCCAGTTTGTGCCCATTGCCCCTCATCCTATCACTGGGCACCACTGAAAAGAGACTGGTCCCATCCTCTTGACACCCGCCCTTCAAATATTTATAAACATTTATAAGATCCCCTCTCAGCCTCTCTTCTCCAGGCTAGACAGACCCAGGTCCCTCAGCCTTTCCTCATAAGAGAGATGTTCCAGTCCCTTGATAATCTTCACAGCTCTCCATTGAACTATCTCTAGTAGTTCCCTGTCTCCCTTGAACTGGGTGACCTAGAACTGGATACAGTACTCCAGATGTGGCCTCACCAGGTGAGAATAGAGGGGGAGGAGAACCTCCCTTGACCTGCTGGTCACACTCTTCCCAATGCACCTCAGAATACCATTAGCCTTCTTGGCCACAAGGGCATGCTTCTGTCTTATGATTAATTTGTTGTTCCACCAGGACCCCAAGGTCCTTCTCCGTGGAGCTGCTTTCCAGTAGGTCAGCCCCTGACCTCTACTGGTGCATGGGGTTATCCCTCCCCAGGTGCAGGACTCTGCACTTGTCCTTGTTGAATTTCATGAGGCTTCTCTCCACCCAACTCTCCATCCTGTCCAAGTCTTGCTGAATGGCAGCATAGCTTTCTGGTATACCAGCCACTTGTCCCAGTTTCATATCGTCAGCAAACTTGCTGAGGCTACACGCCGTCCCTTCATCCATGTCATTGATGAAGATGCTGAACATCTTCATCATTCATGAACATACTGGACTGGAGCTAGTACTGACCTCTGGTGAACACCACTAGCAACCAACTGGACTCTGCTCCTCTGATCACAACCCTCTGAGCTCTATTGTTTAGATGGTTCTCAATCTGTCTCACAGTCCACTCATCTAACCCACACTTCCTGCACTTACCTATGAGGATGTTATGGGAGACTATCAAAAGCCTTGCTGAAGTCAAGGTAGACAACATCCACTACTCTCCTTCATCTACCCAGCTAGTCACACCATTATAGAAGGCTATCAGATTAGTTAAGCATCATTTCCCCTTGCTGAATCCATGCTGACTATTCCTAGGAATCCGAAATGAGCTGTTCGTCTCATGGAGATGACTTCCAGAATGACCTTTCCAGGGATGGAGGTTAGGCAGACTGATCTGTAATTTCCTGGGTCCTCCTTCTAGCCCTTTTTGAAGATTGGAGTGACATTGGCTTTCTCCAGTCCTCAGGCACATATTCTGTTCTCCATGATCTGTCAAAAATGGTGGAGGGTGGCATAACAACAACGTCAGCTAGGTCCCTCAGCTCATTGGGGCCCATGGATTTGAGTGTTCAGTTTGCCTAAATGGTCCCTAACCCAAACCTCATCAACCAGTGGAGAGTCCTCCTTCCTCTAGACTTTCTCTCTTACCTCCAGGGACTGAGATTCCTGAAGGCTATACATAATTCCTACAATTCCAGGCATTCAAATAATACATGAGAAAACAGAAGAAAAATAGTCGTATGCGTGAAGCAAGAAGCAGTACGAAAACCACAAAGTCTAGAAAGCTGGTTACAGATTTTTAGGAAGTAGCTGTGTAATGTGTATGGGAAACCCAGCCAAATCAAATAGTAAGGAAATAAATTTCCTGATTCATGACAGAAATAGGGTTAATTGCCTGCATCTGGTACAGCTTTGTACATGCAAGTGACTCCCCTTCTTTAGCTTCTGTTCATTATGAGGTGACTCTCCCTGTTTTTCACCCCCACACCCAGCTGGGTTCTGGTTCTGTGATGAAGGTAATGTATCTCATTTTACTGGATTACTCAAAGATGCACATACCTTACAGCTTCTGTGTAAAGCAGAAATCCTGCAGAAAGCATTCTCTTCCTTTGGATCAACATTGGATCAAAATCTAGTTGTCCACTGAATAAACCTAGAGTCTAGTGAGCGGGGGAAAAAACCCAAACACAGCTGTGACTGTAGTAGTACAGAGAATTGCAAGCAAAGTCAATCTAAAGGAACATCAAAAGACAATCATTTCCCTTTTTTCCCCCATTTTGAAGTTGATTTTGATTGGTTTTGCATATAGAACTCCTCAGTGTGATAGGTGGGTTGAAAGCATAAAGCATTAGGCCACAGTACTGTTTGGGAGATCCTGCAGAAGAGTGCTGCAATATGCCCATGGGCTATAATCAGCCTTTATACCCTGCCTGGAGGCAGGGCAGGTATGGCAGTCTCTTGGTCTAAAGCTTCCCATCTTCCTCTTGCTTGCATCCATGTAGCCACTATGTAGACTTTGTGCAATGACACATTGTTCTTAGAGCACAGCTCTTATTCTCCCTCCTCTGTATTTACTGTAAGCTACAGTGCTATGAGCACACAGTCAAATATTATCACAACTGACCAGCTGTCCACACTTCACACCCACTCTGCATAAGTGCAGGTGGCTACAGAGGAGCAGCTCTCTTGGTGTTGGCCAAGCCCTGCTCACTGCAAGTTGTACAAAGAGGAGCATTTTTTCACCACATTTATTTCTCCTGGATTGGTTTAGCACCATGCTGCTCATTTGCCCAGAGTGCCGAGTGCCTGCTGTGAAGTCAGTTGTGCCCTTGGAGATGCTGCTCTTCTATTTAAATTCCCTGCATTCAAAACTCTGTTAATCAAGGGAGATATTGCCTGTCACAAGGTGATGACATGGATGGTGGTGGGAGACACAGTAGGAACACACACATAATGTGCTGCTGTATTGCTGAAAATCAGCAGCCCAGTTCCTCTCCTTTCCCAAAGGCATGAGGTACAGTTACCTCTCATAGTTTTAAGAAGTTTCTAGCTCCATTTTGATAATAATCTAAGAAATTAATGTGATTTATACTGTGAAGTGAGAAGCTAAGAAATGCAGCTACCACTATATGGCACATTCTTGCAATCACTAGAGTGCTGCTAAAATCTGCCTCCTCTCTGCTTGCTTCTAGCAGCTGTTTTCAGACCAATTTGTAGCTGCTGTATATTCCTCCAGTCATCTCCTGTGCCTCCCTGAGTACCAATGATTACACCTTAGGGGAACAGTTTGTGCCAGATGGATATCTTGTAGAAACCTGCTGAATTTTGAGACATGGTGTAGCTCCAAAAGATGATGCAGCAGGGAAGCATGTGGTTGCTCTTCCCCGCCATGAACACGACCTGCTGCTCTTCTGCTTCCTCCCACCCTGGGGGGTTCACAGCTGCCCCAAGCAGGCAGCTTCAGGGAGAGAGGAGCTGAGCAGGATGGAAAGGAGGAGAGTGTCCCCATGGCTATCTGGTAATTGGAGGTGAGCAGGACACGTATGTGAGCTCTCTGAAAAACTTGAGAGACCAGGGAAAAGCAACAGCAAGGAGATGAAGAGAAGGTGTGTCTAGCATGGTGTGTGAGGATCTCAGTCAGGATATGAGCAGGCATACACAACAATTAGGACCAGGAACAAGGCACTGAGAGCAACTCTAGGAGGCAACGCTCCTCAGTGGATCCCCAGCCCAAAGGGCAAGAAGCAAGGAGGATTAGGGGCGAGGCCAAGGACCTTGAAGTCCAGTTTCAAGAACTGATGGGAACAGTGGTCTGATGAGAACAAAGCATTTGTACACTAAGTCAAGGTCTCATGTGAGAAATAGGCAGGGTGGTGAGGAACTGGAAATGAGACAGGTTGAGCAGGCATATTAAAATAAGCTAGTAGTAGAAAGTACAGGGCAGGATCTTTACCCAGGGCTGAGAAATAGTATCTGGAAGCAGAAAATATCAAATGGGGAGAACCCTTTGTTCCCCAGATGCTAGTGGATAGTATTTAAGTTCCTAGGCCGATCATCGGACTCCTCAGAAACTCCAATAGCAAAATCCAAAGTTTAAACCAGTGTCTTGTCTAGATTTTTCTTTGCTGTTGTGCCTGTGGCTGTCATCAGGCTCAAATTCTGAAGAGACATTGGTCACCTCCACTTTAAAAAATGATCCATAGCCCTCATTTAGTGCTATGTAAAGTCACATTCTGTCCTTGCAACCCTGATCCTACAGAGGTTATTTTCATCTGCCTGTGCACATATACCTACACCAGGTGAGACACAGGATCTAAGAGTGCAGCTGGAGTGTACTGCACAGAGCCTAAGCCTTCAACCCAGAAGGAATGTAAGAGAAGGTTTATCCTATTAGTATGGCACCAGGATTTATAGGGAGCTTTGGATAAAGCAGTCTTGTGTCTGACACTTATGCACCAAGGCGCATCTTTAACTGAGATTCTCACCTCCTACTCTGCCTTCAGATTAAGTTATATGTCTCCATTTTCAGTTACCAGACTGAGCTCTGAATCCTGCTCCTTCCTCC